CAATACATGTAAATTAAGAAGCTAGATGCCATTAATTTTATCGATATCAATAATCGACCTTTCGCTCCCCCTACCATATATGAGTTTTTTACGCCTGTATTAGTGTATGTCAAACGAAGTGATTGCGTCAGTGTGACGACCAATAACAAATCTTTTAACCTAGTGCGTGTTGTTTATTTGTGTGCATTTTCCGCGTAGGTATTGGTCTCTTGCTTGTAGTAAAGTTAAAGAGTGGGGGACAAACGGCGACGCGTGTTCTAATACAAATCAGGAACTATTTCCTTTCTAGCCTTCTTTATATGTTCTGTGGTGTAGAGATACGCGAGTGGACGAATACATCAGAATATCCGAAGACAGCCGGTGCGAGGAGTGATACCGAAACTAACCCCCTACAGAAACCACTAGACAAATTACATTAGCGCTAATCGAATCGAATAGAATAGGAAAATGAATGTTTGGGATTGACATAAACCTATGACAATACTTGTCGTATGTCAATGTCAGTCCTATACAATCATTTTTTCAATTCTTCTACACTATTCCGTTTAGCGTTTATGTTGTTTGTGTAGCGGGGGACAGCACAAGTTTCAAGTAATGAATTACTCAATACTCGAACCGTGACGATGTCAATTGGACAGATGTTTACTACGTAGGAAACTAATTAATTGTTTGTTTGGGTTAACGATTCACACGAATTATCTTATCGTGGCACTAATGATGTATAATTGCGAAGTCCATTTGACATCAGCGTTGTTGTGATAGATTTAGTTCGTCCATACCGAATCTGACGTGTTGTCTAATGACTGCCTCGTTAGCGAAGGCTCGTAATCCTCCGTGCCATTCGTTGCTCGATATCGGGTCCCCGACGGCGATGCCCAGCGGGTCTAATTGCGCCACTAGGTGACCACGTGACTACATCCAACGTAAAACAAAATCTTCGTAACAAGACAATTAAATACCTGTCCCCATCATGCATCTTCAGATATATAGACAGATACATATACATAATACTTGTATAAAGCGGGCTCATAATGGTATTGGTTGCTTTATGCATTACAAAATATGTACATTTGTATTTGTAGGTAGAAAGTTAATATAAATTACGTCTCGAGGATTAAGAAGTCTAAAGATTGATACGCAGCATACATAGGATTAAGAAAATGCCTCAATATTCCCATAAACGTGCAAACTGTTCTTCAGTCTATATAACCATTAACGTGCTCGAAATAGGAAAGAAAATTAAGGCAGTCGTTATTATTGATTCCAATCGAATATTTTTGTATTATTTGAGACTAGCATTTTACGTCGGTCGGTTGAGTTATTTCGCATGAACAAATGTTTGATGGATGTCGCCATTCAGTTATGATCCTTCTTGCATTATACTATCATTCGGTATTATACAAATTAGTTATAAAATGTTAGGATGACTAAAACGGCTTGAAAACAAAAACTACTGCAAAATAAAACCTTTGATATAAATCGACAGCGAATATTATCACACACATGCATATACAAGATATAATTTCCTAACATACAGTTCTATAACACAAGCAGTGTAGTTGAACAAAATGTTATCTACAACAAGATACGTCTTGTACACGATAAATCAAACGATTCAAGTTTGAGGACAACACTAGTATTAGTGATATATTAATGTGATGCATTGACATCTATATGTTAAATGATTTGCGTGGTGTAAAAGCTACGACTATCCATGGGTGTTCAAGGCCACTCGTACTCGTGACCACTCTCTCAAGCATGACTAGATAATAATATGTATGTGTGTTATAAAATCGCTTACGAAACACAACAATCAATGACACGCAATGCAATGTTGAAAAAATAACGAAACGAAATACGACTGTGGATGCGTCCATATTAACGAGAGCGACAGTTCCGTAGTCTCCTGCGTACCAAAATTGAAATATTTCCTCATGATGAGCTCGGAGCTTGGGCCGCGCATGCCTAGCTGAGGCAGGTTCGCCGTCGTGATGCCGAGCGGGTCCACGTCGGCCGCCAGGTGACCGCGAGCCTGTCACGCACCCGCCACCACATCACATTTTAGCCCAAATTGCATATACCCACGACCTAGCGACTACGCACACCCACGTCACTTACATTATAAAACCGTCAAACTTGGTAGATGTTTTCGTCGCTAGATCGTGTCACAGAATTTAGACCTGTTCAACGGATAGTCTTGAAACCGCTGTGCCAATTGTTCCACACGCAGTAACAACGACTGTATCTTGTGTATGCCCATTTCCATTTGAGCTAAACTAATTCTTAATTACACAATATAAAAATTACAAAAACATTTATAAAAATCTTAATTAAAAATAATTTACCTATCTTCATAATACATATGAGCGCGACCTACAGGCGTAACGTAAGAAATAATGTGTATAATGATACAACACAACCTAAGTCTATCATTGTCTTGATCAAACGTGTATTACATGGGGAGTAAAACAAAGGGGAAAACATGTTTAGTTCGGGAGCTTACGACAAGAATAAATCATTCATTCTAAAATATATCACGGAACAATCTGCATCACCTACAGGTTGGCTAGTAAGAATGCCCATGGCATTGAGCTCGCCTATGTACTCTTGTTGCATAAAGTTAAATAAATAAATAAATAAATAAAACAATGTAGGTATTTATTAAAATGTTAAGAATAAGTGATTTATTCTTCATGTCCTAACTCCCTAACCACAAGACAAGTTACATGTAAGGGACAAAAGTGCAAACAATAATGAATATATCACAAGAATCAAGTCATGTGTAAAACAGGAACATTGGTCACCTGGTAACTCCTGATGATAGCCTGCACAGCTAGATGGTCGTCGATTATCTTCTCGTTAATCGGAGATCCTGAGGAAAACCAGTACGCCAGGATTAATAATATTACTTGGAATGTAATGTTGATAGGTCAATTATGATGTGAAAAATAATGGACCCAGTTACACAACATCATATCAAGATAAACTGCAATGTATATGCTTTCGGGTTCGAAACCGAAAGCTTATCGATCAAAGTACTATTGGAGTGCCCCATTTCACAGTTTCCAATAGCAGTAGCAATAGTGTTTGATCACTTTTACAAACAGATTAAAGACACAAGTGGCGAAAAATTAATGAGTGTTAAGACCACGCTGTAATGTCGTGGTGGCCCGGAGGTTTAGGACGCCCGCTTCTCATGCATGACGGTACTGGTTCGAAACCTACTAACGGCAAGTACCAATGTGACTTTTTCCGAGTTATATGTACTTTCTAAGATTATCTAGACACCACTGACAATCGGTGAAGGAAAACATCGTGAGGAAACCTGGGCTTATAATTTCTAATTATAAGTTTGTAATCGCATACCCGCATTGACCAAGCGTGATGATTAATGCCTCAAACTTACTCCGTGTGAGAAGAGGCTTTGCTCAGTAGTGGGCACTTATAGGCTGTTGATGATGATGATGAAGACCACGCTTACTATTTTACAGGAAAATTCAAATTAACTTGAGTACCAACCTGCAGCAATGGATGGCATACCAGCACTAGCTGGTACCAGGGAGGTGAGTGGGACTTCATTCTTGTTGTACGGCGCGAGGTTCGGAGGCGCTGTGTACGCTGTACCGGGCTGAGCTCCAGCTGTCGCATTGCGGAAAAACGCATCCCATGACTAGAAACAAAAATTAACTATTTTAGTTTCATATAGAAAAAATCAACGAAAAATGTACTTGATAAGTACCTACATACATAGTTTTCTTGTAAAATAACAAACATTTGAACAAAAGATGATTCAGTAGTCACAGTTCACAGAGAGAACCAATGACCTTTTGGGATATACGCATTTTAGCATTATCTATTCATACACGACTACATAAACTTAGCTTAGCACTCTCTGGCTAATTGGATTGGAGAGACCACAAAGTGGCTAGAATCGATTGAATACAAAGATCTACGACCAGGCTACGTCGCGTGCTAATTTTTTAAGAGGTCTATATAACCAGTAATGGACTAATACAGAGACGACGATAGATATAAACGTTGCAATTAAAATTCCATTTTTACTTTAATGAAACATAATTGGTAAACCCACTGCAAATCCCTGACCTTAAATAATTGTGACATCACAAATCTGGCTGGAAATACCCAGACCGCGAAAATCAATACGTTTTGCATACATACATACACTAAACTTAAACTTTAAGAAACTTATTTTTCCTGTTTACTCTCTTTCTCACGAAAATAAAACGATACAAAGTCATTCAAGTAATAAGGACTCTTTATCCTGGTATTCAAGTCTTCAATGAGTATCATATCGTAGCACGATGTGTCAGAAATGAGCCTGATAGAGTCGCACCGAACATTGAACACAATGTCAGTCTTAGTGAGTTCGGTAAATGTAACATAGTCCTTAACCCATCATTAAAGATGGTTAAAATAGTGTATAGATTAGTTAACTTAGCTATTAAGCGTAGCTTATAAGTTAGTAATGACTTAAAGTTAATAAGACTGCCTCATTGGCCGAGTGGTCGCAAGTACAGCTACCGGGCAAGAGGTCTTGGGTTCGATTCTCGGGTCGGGCAAAGTATTACTGGGTTTTTAAAAACCTCAGTAGTAGCACGGAGTCTGGAAATGTGCCCGGTATATGGTAATAGGCTCACCCCCTATTACAAGGGACTCATAACATAAATAGTGAAAAGTGGGTGTTACATTTTACAGTGGCATTAAGTGCCGTAATGTGCACCTCTGCCTACCCCTTCGGGGGAAAAAGGCGTGATGTTACGTTATGTTATAAGTTAGTAAATCCACCCTTGTGAGGGTGACATTGTCATTTTTGATAAAACGCTTCATAATTATAATAAAGCAAAAAAAGTCAATGAATTTTAAACACTTAGGTAGGGATGACCTACCGGGTTACCGGGACTCCGGTTCAAAGCAAGAGTAAGAATGGGAAGGTTTTTAATCAGTGAAAGTCTGGTACTCTCTCTCTCTCTCTCGTTTCACTCAAGACGGAAAAAGTTATTTGATGAAATACCCTCTCAAGAAAAGATAGTTTTAATTTCAATATTCTTACAGAATCGGTTAATTATGTTCATATGACAGTTATGCCATACATGATGACAATATTCTTATAGTACTCGGGAGTATACGGTATATTATAATTAAGTTACGTCACAAGTATCTACGCAAGCAAGTCACGCTGAGATGGACAAATGACGTACATTAAAAGATTGCAAAAAAAGTTTCATAGAGTTCACGACGCCAAATTATTCATGGAATTATTATGACTGGTGTACGATAATACCTATCTATATTATTTGAGTACTACTATTATAATGTATGTATGAATACTATTGAATACACTAGGTAACATCCATATAAAAAACTCCTTGGTAATCTAGTACCAACTGACTAAGTTTTAGTGCCAGGGCAAGGACCCATTATATGTTGTATCGCGATATTATCGGTAAAACGCAGTTTTGAATTGTACCCGGTCATATAGCTATTACACTCATTACACAGGATTAAAATTGTTACTAATATTTTTTTATATGAAAGAATGGAATTTCTATCTTTTACTCCATTCGACAAATTTAATAACAAACATATCTCCATTTTTTTTTTCATATATAAAAACGTTGCCCCACACTAGTATTTTCTCATATGTCGTGGGGTGGGTGTGTTTACAAACATACAATATCACATACCTACACATGACACCCAGACCCGGAACAACAATGTGTGGATCACACAAAGAGCTGCTCCGCGCGGGAATCGAACCCGCGACACGTTGCGCGACAGCCCAGCTACCGCACCAACCGTGCAGTCTCTCTCTATGACGTCACAGAAGAGGCCACTTTCTGATATTGACACCAAAACAACGGTCAAGAGATGAGATTCTGTATTATCACTACTACAATCAATCAAGTTAAATCTGATAATAATAGATATTTCAGGTTTATCAGTTGAGCCTTTCTTATCAATCACATTTCACTTTCATAAACCTCGTTTCTCTAATAGTTATTACAATGAGGTTATTTCACGTGTAATGTTAAATCGACCATTACTTGGTCAAGGAAAAACGTTATCGATAAATATGCATGTACTTATTCTGAACGCTATTGTAACTATGTTCCATTGTAAAACCCAGTCTCTGTAGAGCACAGAACTGATCGCAAAAAGGTTATCTGTTAATCTACGAGTCCTATAATGCAAAAGTACTGAATGAATTGAGATGAAATTTTGTACATAGACAGATCATGAGCAACCTAGAAGTAGCTCGATGACTCCAGTGAAACTTTAAAAGAAACGCCTTTTTTATTTACGTATTGTAATTATATTCTTAGCTTGCCATGTGTAAAACATGAATGGAAATGAAACAGTGTATTTTCCAATTTTAATTGGAATTGCCGCGTCAACCGTGTCAACAAATTTGATGTAGTAACAAATGACTGAATGCTAATTTTGAAACTACACTGTGGGCGTTATGCCCGTGAGATGTAGACGTCAGTTTTGTTAGGGATACATTGGATTAAAGCAGAAATCTCCAACTATGGAACATCAATGCTCCAACCGACTCCAGTTAGTAATCACATGATAATTAGTATCGCACGAATTGTCAATTCACTCTCGTGACCATCTCTTTTCCTTATAACACGTAATATACGTCACAAACTATGCTATAATTTCACTTTGATTCTAATATCATTAAAAAGTTTGAATAAAATCATTTTTCTGACATTTTTGCTATCTATTTTGAGCACTAAAAGCAAACCCATAGAGTCGCTTACTAATTAAAGGGGGATTCAAATGAACTGATTTAGTTGCTCAAGGTTTCCGGTTATTACCGGTATGAACTGGTAATAAATAATGACGTCTTTTTTTTTTTTTTTTTTT